TCCTACTTGTTTCGTTCCTCGTGGAGGTATGGGTGGGGGGGGGGAGGGGGAGTGGAGGGGAAGGTGCCTGATGCTTCCTGTTCAACCTGTTTTTGCCATTGTTTTCATTAGCATAACTTAGTATGCAGCAGTAGTAGTTTGGTACCAAATTACCCTCATTAAGGAGTGTTAAGTTCCTTATGAAACTCCAAAGTTTAGAATACACAGTTACTCTATCCCTTTCCTGCTTTCTTCCCTCTGTGAGGAGTATCATATATTAGGTTGCTCTCAGTTTTCTAGAGTGTTTTTGAGTCACTGACAGCAAGATACAAATACAGCAGAGAGAGAACAAATTTAAAGTTGAAATGAGATTAATGAAAGCATGTCCCAAGCTACTGTAATGTACTTTAATATTAATAGGTACTACAATGTTGCTACAAGGCTTGCCCTGAAGTCTGGTACACTGGTTCCATTGGGTATCCATTATCACATTTGGATACCCAAAGTGAAACCAATGATTGTGATCTAGAAAAATAAAATGAATTGTCAAGTTGCTTAAGTACAACGTACGTACAACGTTACTTGGCCATTAACTCTCTCAGTAATTGGCTGCATTGTTAAAGTGTTGTTATGGATAGAACATTTTCCCTGTCAGTTTCCATTGCAGCACCTCCTTTCTTTGATCTGACAATTTTTCTTCCTCTGACATGAGCTGAAGTGTCTGAAGGTTGACAGACCCTATTCCAATTCTTTGGCTTCTTCAAGTTTGCAACTTGCTTCAAAAATATGCCAGGTTGCTCTCAAGGAGGATCTCAAGATGCAACTTCAGACCCCGGTTTGTTCATTTTCACTCTTGTTTCTTAAGGTGCCACCTTAAAAAAGTTTACATTTTCTCTTGGTCCCTTCTCAGGCTGTATCACTTTGCTACCATCTAGTAGTTGTCCAGATTTTTGCAGCCCCAAATCTGGTTGCTCTACTTTATTAAATGTAGGGCAGAATGTGCTGAAGAATTCAATTATATTATAGTCATTATAGTTACATAATACAAATTTCAGTTCCTATTCTAGTCCAATTTAAGCTGTCCATTAGATATGGATTCTGACTTCATTTATTCTGCATTTAACAAAACTTACTTATCCCTAAATAGGTCAGTTCAAATTGATGCTGTTTACTCCTTTCTAGCAACATTCTCCTGCTCTCATAGGCACTTTCATTTTCAGTTATTGGTTTTACATTTACTCTATTGGTTTATTACCAAACTATATTTATGTAGGTCCTATGTCAAGGACTGGGAACAGCAAAGCATAATTGTACTATCCAAGGTCTCATTCCACAAAGGAATTACTCATAGCCAGGGAGACACAGCAAATAGACTCAGAAGTCGAAAGCAAAACCAGTCCAAGACTCAGACAAGGCTCTGGACATCAAAATTCAGGATCCAAGCAGCAAAAGGCACACTGACTGTCAGATAAGCAGTGCTGACAAACTAACACGAGACTAAGATACTGCTTTCAATGAAGAGCTACCCGTAAGCAGAAATATATTCTAGAAGCTGCTGCTATCTCATCTGTACTCAGCTGGTGCTCATTCAAACTCAAATCTGATTGTAAAGACATCCAGACACACGGGATTACTCTCAAGTAGATCTTCATCCCCACAGTGTTCTTCCTTATGTTTTGTCTGGGACCATTCTTGGGGCTGTATTGATGGGTCTAGATCAATTCATGGGTGCAGAAGACTTAGTGGGATTGTCTGGTTTTTCTTCTTCCTCTGAGAAGGCAGCTGTGCCAGAATGGGCCACTTTTACTCTCATGCTTTTAAATAGTGACCATCCAATTCCACAGCAGCAGGGACAATCAATGCTTTAACTCTATAAAGTAGCTTGCTCCCACTTTGCTCCTTTTTCTACTTTGACTGCTCTGGATACCAGCTTATGTACCCCTGGAGCTTGGTAAACAGATTTGTTTTGTCTTGACTTCTTAACATGTGACTCTGAAAACAGCTCTTATTTTGTTTCTTGTAAATCTTCTATGGTCTGTTAAAATACAATAATACAGGTTTTGTAGAATAGCGCTGGATGAGAAATGATGCTTGTGATGTTGACAGGCCCATTGTACAGTGTAAGTCCATTGAAAAGGATCTTGGAAGTTGGAGTGAAGCAGATTGCTAAGAGGCCTAGCAGCGTATGGAAAGCAGGCATTAATGTCTTGTAATAGTTTGCAAGATCTTTCTGTAGCTTGTTATTCTCTTAATATTTCAGGCTTGTCAATATTATTTATGTTGGTACTCCCCAGCCTTGATTAGGAGTTGTAGACCTAAAATTAGGTGGGGACCTTAGCTTTATGTTGTGTTAGAAGGGAACACAGTAATTTTTGTAATGCTATGCTAAAAAGTACCATTACTTCACATGCTATGAATGCAGTCACTCTGGTCTACCTAGGACAACAGAAAAGTGGAAGCAGTATTTTGGCCATGTATCCCTAATTGAAGGAGGAAGTACCCATGTCATCTAACAGAATAATTTTTTGCTTCGATCATATTCATTCAAAACATTGCACAATTTTTTCCCAAACTCATCTGTTGTTCTATTATCACTATGCCTTGGAGCATAACATCTAACTATTACCAACCCATAGATTCCTGCTTCAGTGCACACCCACATCATTCTAGATGATACCATTTTATACTTTCTCATATAATTTTCCCCCTTTCTGTTTTAATCTTCTTACTGAAACAAGGAAATGTAAGCTGCTCAAGAGTCTTTTTGGATTTGGAATGGCAAATAAGGAAATTAACAAGTAATTTTTTTAGTTACATAGAGAAGGTGTAGCCAAGACTACCAGAATTGTATCCATGCCACAGGCAGTATTCCCTGCCAACAGTAAAGAAAATACCAGTCAGAATTGTTATTCATCTTCATTCCTAAGTTTAGTATTGCTCATGTCTAGAAAGTTTTCCATCTCATGTGCTTGGTCTTATTCATTCAGGCAAATGTAAAACTTACAACAGAGCCATAGTTTACTGCTAGAGTCTGTAGAGACCATGGAAGGCCAAGGCCAATTAGAATGTCAAAGACATTGCTTCCAATGGAGTTTGATACGGCCATGTCACCCATTCCTGCAACACAAGAAAGTAGATAAGTCAGAATTACTGCAACACAAAATTAATTGATTTAAGCAAGTTTTCTAAATCCATAGCTGGGCATTACTTTTATTATGACCAACCAAAATGTCACAAAAGCTTTCTTCAGAACAAAATGTAACGAACGTTAAGAAATAAGGAAATTACTGCTGCAATATTATCATAGAGCAATTTAAAAATCTTCTCTACCTATTTGTCCCTTCTGTGCAGTTTTTGGGAGGAGTGGAGGGGAAGGTGCCTGATGCTTCCTGTTCGTCCTGTTTTTGCCATTGTTTCCATTAGCATAACTTAGTATGCAGCAATAGTGGTTTGCTACCAAATTGCCCCCATTAAGGAGTTTTAAGTGGAATTTCTACTTTCATTTTTAAGTGGAGTTTCCCATACAATTCCAAAGTTTAGAATAGACAGTTACTCTATCCCTACTGTTCCTTTCTCTCTTCTGTTTTCTTCCCTCTGTGAGGGGTATCATGTATTTGGTTGCTCCCTCCTGGTTTTCTAGAGAGACTGTTCTCTGTTTTTTGAGTCATTGACAGCAAGATACAAATGCAGCAGAGGGAGAGAGAACAGATTTAAAGCTGAAATGAGCTTAATGAAACCATGTGCCAAAGTACCGTAATGCATTTTAATAGACATAATAAACTGTTTCATAATAACTGGTAATGATAACTATGTTGATTTATAATGACGAAACAATAATGATATCATGCTCAGGTACTTACTTTCACTTTAATTACACTGGTAGTTAATACTAACAATAAATGCAATGATAATTGTATCGTAATTACAATGATAACTGTATCAACAATAATGATTACATTTAAAGCCTTCATGGCACAGGACCTGGTTACCTGCGGGGTTTGCCTTTCTCCCACTGTTCTGCTTGCCCACTACATTCAGGCAGAGTGGATGTGCTCCAGGTCCCCTCTATTAAATGTTGTCATCTTACAGGAGCTAGGAAGTGTGCCTTCCCTGTCGTGGCCCCCACCCTCTGGAACAGCATCCCTCCACAGATGCACCCTCTCTCCTGGTGTTCCGAAAAGCCCTTAAACCTGGCTTTGGTCCCAGGCCTGGGGTTAATGCACAGGGGGGGGGGGGGGGGCTGTCTTGCTTGTTTTAATGGTTGTTTAGTCCAGGCTATCTTGTTTCATTTTATGTTTTTAATTGTTTTGATTTAGCATTATATTTTGTAAGCCACCCAGTGTCCCCTGGAGTGGGCGGTTATATTAAATCTAATGAGATGATGATGATGATGATGATGATGATGATGATGATGATGATGATCTCCCTGGCTTACCTAGTTGCCATCCATTGTTGCTCCCCTTCCCACTTCTCAATGTGGCTTTTGATTTGAAAAAAAGCTGTTGACTCCTCCTTTAAAGGATTAGAGGAAAGGTTCATCTAGCCTAGCATCCTTTTCTCCTAAAAAAAAAACTCTTCTACAGCATTTGCTGAGAAGAAACTAATGTTGAAGTTATATCTCTTCTTAACACAAAGGTAACAGTCAGCAATCACGGTCATAAACCTCTCCTCCATAAATTATGTTCACTTGCCTTCTCGCAGTAGCACATTCTCTGAGATAGAGGCATTGTGTGAAGAACACAACCACATGTTAAAATGCCTTAAGAGAAAAGAAGCATGTTGGGAGAAAGGATAATGGGAAATTCTCTTCCTCACGCCTAACACACTTTTTCAAAATTCAGTCTTTTTTCCTGAATCGGAATCTTTCCCCCCTTAATTGCAACCCTTAAATGACTCAGATAAATTTTACCATAATCCTGACTGAACACTAATCGTAATCCTGATTTAACCCCAACATGACAACACACATTTACACTAACCCTAACCCTAACCCCAACAATCCCAACACTAACATTAAATTAACATAAATATGTATCATAAAAACTAACTCTAATGATAATCCTAACCCTGAATGTAACCATAACCAAGACAGTATCCTAATTTAAACTTAACATTAACATAACCCTAAAGCCAGTATCTAACCTAACAAAAACTCCTGACTGAAATATAAACTTAAAACTAACCATAATGCTAACACTAACCTTAATTTACCTATAACCCTTACCAAGCCCTAACTCTAATTTAACCCTAAAAGCAATATTAACATTTACATTATACCTAGTCCAATGCTAAATCTCAGGTTAGCATCCTGGCATTACATGTAAATTCTGACTCAAATGCCAACCCTAAGCTAAATATAATCATAACCCTGATAAAATCCTAACCCAACCCAAACACCAATATAAAAAATACTACCTCAGTAGTAACATTACACTAACATTAACCGTGGCAACTAACTCTAACCTTAAATTTAGCCATAAGGAATGAATCCTAAATTTAGCCTGAATGAACCCTGACCAAACCCTAAACTTATTCTAACCCTAATAGCAATACAAATATTTATCCAGTTCTAAGCCAACCCAAAATCCCATTATGTAGCACTGACAATAAAATTCTAATCCTAACCCTGACCATACATTTGTCCAATGCCTAATCATAACAGAAAAGCACACATTTACCTTAACCCCAACCCAATGCTAAATCTCATCCCTAACACCAACTATAACCATAACACATAATCCTAAGGCCAACCGTAACCCTAAATGGAGCCACAACCCTCACCGTACAGATAGTCCTTGTTTAGCAAATGCCTTGTTTAATGACCATTCGCAGTTATGACAGTGATAAAAAATTAACTTTGAGACCAGTCCTTGCATTTACGACCTTTGCAGGTTTGTAAAGCAAAGCAAATCTGAAGTAAGATCGTAAAATCATGTTGTTTCACTTAGCAACTGCTTTGATTAACATCCAAGTCGCTTGGCCCAATTGTGGTGCTAAATGAGGACTACCTGTATCCTAATTCTAAACAGAAATGTAATGGTAATATGTATACATACATTTACCCTATTCCACACCTCTTCCCCTGACTGATATTAAATTGAAATCTAACCTTAACACTAAAACCAAAACAAACATTCTTATTTATTTATTTATCATATTTATATGGCTGCCCATCTGAACTGTGACTCTTGGCAGCATACAATCCAACCATAAAATAAATTTTAAAAAACATTCAACAAATACAAAAATTATTATTATTATTAAAAGGCCAGGACAGAGCATCAGATATTACGAGTAATGGAGCCACCTCATCAGATCACCATTCCCTTGCAACCCCCTGGCCTGTTGACACAACCAGGTTTTGAGGGACTTCCAGAAGATCGGCAGAGATGGGGCCAATCTCACCCCGGGGGGATGATGTTCTGGGTGAGTGCCACAACAGAAAAGGCCCATTTACTGGGTTCTGCCAGACGTAATTCTTTGGCAGATGGGACCCACAGCATACCTCTTCTGCCGGACCTAATGGGATGGGCAAATGTAATCAGGAAGAGGCAGTCCCTCAAATAACCCAGCCTCATGCTATTAAGGGCTTTAAAGGTCAAAATCAGCACTAGAATTAGAATTTATCCCAATTCTAATCTCAATGGTAAATCCCAACCATAAAAAATTGTAGCACTAAGGAGACTTAATGTCTCATAGTCACATAGTTCCAACTCTTATGAATTTGGTTGCAGTTTTCTACTCATTTTCTGTTTTTTAAATATTTTCAGAGAGAAAAGATCATTGTAAGTATTCATAGTGTTCCAAGAGCAGTAACATCATATATATTTTATATAAAAGCAATACAATATGTTTTATTTTCAACTCCTTACCCAGTATGAGTTTGCCTTTTTACCATCATGGCAAACTCAACTGGCATTTATACTGACTTGTGAACTAAAGTGCCCAGGATCTTTTCCCTGTTTAGTCAATGGAGGTCAGCCCAAATACATATCAAGATAGACCTTTTTTTGCCACCAGACCTCACTTTCGCATGTATTAATCCTAAAGTACAGTTCTGTTCTCTCTACATTAGCTGTGATAGAGGTTTGTTTGTTTGTTTGTTTTGCAACCTGAAATCCAACAGGTTCATTTTACAAGAAAATTGAAATGACAAAATCTAGGACCCTCCAATATATAGGCTGGCTCAATACATTTAACATTGGGATGGGTGAGCAAAAATGCAAAATGGATTATGCTGTGATTTGCAGCAGTTATGATCAGAGTGTGTTCTGAGGACTGCAAAAAAGAAAAAGAAAAAATAAAAATGAGGAGGACAAAGTGGTACAGGAAGAAGAAAAGGAAGAGGTTTGATCTTATATTTCAGATTGTCATCCCCATAATCCATTCATAACATACCTATGGTGAAAAATCAAAGAGAGATGGGAAAGAGAAAGAAAAGGGCATGTGAGCCTAGAGATACTTCCTATCCTTCTTCAGATATTATTCTGGTTACCTAGTAATATCTGAACAGACATTATTTTCCATGTTATGAGTATATATTCTCTATTGTAGCACTTTTTATCCCTTTATCCTGCAGCAGAATTAAATAATGTATTTCATAGATCTTCAAGACCTCTGTAATATTCATATATAACGAGCTACAAACATACCTTGTCTTGCTACAATAAGGCTTGCCATGCAATCTGGTACACTGGTTCCAGCTGCCAGAAATGTGATACCCATGATCACATCTGGAATACCCAAAGTGAAACCAATGATTGTGACCTAGAAAAATAAAATGAATTGTCAAGTTGCTTAAGCTCATACATGCAATGTTATTTGGTTTTCAGTGAGGTGTTCTGTGGATGGAGACACTTCAGGTTTCCCCACTGTCCCAAATGGATCACCATGTGGTTAAGAGTGGATTATGACTACACCTAACCTCTGCAGGAACAGAGGTACTTATTAGATAGTCTACCTGAAAAGGTTATTGGATCCAGTTGGATTCCAAGAAGCCTGTCCCGCCAGTGGTCTGGTTGATATTATGGATGGTACCTAGAATAGGGAGCTTGCAAGTGTTGTCCACACAATTGCTCCTGAGTGCCTTCTCTGGTGTGCTGCAGTACACAGGAGAACTATAGGTACTAACATGGTAAGGCAGACAGCTAGAGCCCAGATCGAGGAAGAATACAATCTAAGAAGCTCAGATTAAAACCACTTCACTTCATAAAGAAGAAGGATCTTTATTGCAGTCAATGACCAGTCCATAACCAAAGCTTGTACTATAGTGATATAGTGCAAATAAGCATGAGGGTTTTTTTCTGTACATATTGCATGCCCAACTTTATGGCCTGCTAAGTTGTTTCAAGTTGTAAGTGGCTGACTTGCACCCATTTTTTCTTCCCAGAATTGTTTTACAGAATATTAAGAGGCTTGTACCACTTTTAATGAGTTATTTTGCAGATAAAATATCACATATTCAAATTATCTGGATGCCACCTTTCATATAGAGTCAACTGTGGGGGTGTCTAATAGCTCCTCTAGTATAGTTAGATTTAATCAGTTTCAATTGTGACACTTGAAGACCTGGACTGTCTGCTTGGAGGATATGCTCTACAACTGGATCCTTGCCCAACTTGCCTTGTAATTTCTAGCTGAGAGGCCATTAGAGGTGTCTTATTTAGCAAGATAAATGCTTCTCAGATAGAGCACAAGATGCCTCCTTGTTTAAAAGAGCAACTATTAGACCTCTTCTTAAGAAGATTGCCTTGAAGCCCTCAAAGATGGGCAACTTGTTAGGATTAGCTACAGGATGTGGTGTTTTTACAGAGCACAGATCTATAGTATGAATTCTACTATCTTTTAAGAATAGGCAGAATTATTTGCAGGGAGGGGCAAATGAGCCAGTCCAGAATTTTGTTTTTCCTGAACTTTGTGGGACAGGGGAAAAAAGCCCACAAGCCTTTTAAGATGTACACTATAGTTTTGTGCTTTTCCTGCCCCAAAATGGCAGGAAATGATGCTTCTGGTTTTTGGCAATTGTGATGAAGGGGTGCCAAGGACTGT